TCTACTGAATCTTTTTATCTTATTTAAAAAGTTACAATTACAGATAAAAGCACAAAATCACATTTTTCTAGATCTCTGACTTTCAAGAATACATTTATCAGCTTCCTAAGTCATCAAAGGACTTTTGTTTCATGTTAAAAACAGTGGATGTGAAAGTCATTCTTAAACGCAATATTTTAATCTGTTTCTCCATTCTTTTTCAGCCTTATTCTATTTATAGTCTTTTTTTTTTTTTAATTGTCAGTCCTGGGGTTTGGAGTCAGGGCCTGGGCACTGTCCCTGAGCTTCTTTTGCTCAATCAAGGCAAGAACTCTACTGCTATAATGTAACGCCACTTCCAGGTTTATGTTTATGTGGTACTGAGGAATTGAACCCAGGGCTTCATGCATGCTAGGCAAGCACTCTTATAACTAAGCTATATTCCCAGCCTGACACTTTTACTTTTAAAGTTATAAATGCCTTCATTAAAAAAAGGGTTTATTTTTTCCTAGCAGAAAATTAAGGCCTCTAAAAGTTTTAAGGATTAGATATGAAAGCTTAATTCTTTATGTCTATTTCTTCACTAACACAAACTTCACACCTTTACCTTGGTGTCTTCTTCGTTTGGATGAAGGCTCATCTCCCTCAGAGTTCATGATGGAACTAGAGAGATGAATCCAGGATGTCTGGGTCAGTTGATCAGGTCTCCAATTATAATACTGATACTGAGTCCTAGACTCAAACAAACAAGGTGGTCTCCATTTTAGTGAAAAATGCCTACTACTCAAGTATGGGTATGGAACACGAGAATAATGTCCAGGCCACCTCATACAACTAGAAAAATGTCTGTTCCAGCAACATTTTTGTAGATTCTCCCATGGTGTGGTCCAGTCTCTGCCCACACTCTTCGGGTGATGGGGAAACATGGGGTATCTAAAAGAAATAAATACACATTTTGAGGCACCACTTTTTATTAAGCTACAAGATACAAAATTTTAATCTGTTTCCTTAAGGCAAGAGAGCATCTAATATTTAAAATCTGACTTCTAAATTTGAAAGGTGAAAGAAAAAGTAACCAGTAGTACCAGTACTTTAATACTTTTCCCCTTAAACAGCTAATAGAATGTCACTCTGGTTCTTCAAACCCTACAGACCTCTCAAAAAAGTCCACACTCCAACTGAGAGCTTAATTGTACTCAGAGTAGTTTTCTAGCACCACCACCACAAAACTCAATGGAAAAACAAAATCCACAGTAAGTATAATACATCAAATATGGAACACATTTCAGACTACAATTAAAGTGAATCTCTATTCCAACTTGGTTTAGAGTAAAAACATACCTGAATAGTTTTTTTAAAAAAAATTTCTGTCAAGGTTATATTTTTCTAAATACATGTAAGCTAAGACACCAAACTACTTCCTCGTGTGGAAATTTTATTTTTCCATAATTTACTTATTTATTTTAGACATTCTTCTCTTTGAGGGAAATCAAAGAGAGTAGCGATTATTTACTAGGTCACCAAAACTCTAAACCAAGCAGCATCAATTTAATGTATCATCCAGAAGTTCTACAAAGTAATATGAAGATTTTTAAGATATAAACTCACTGTAAATACATGTCTTAGTGTCAATAATGTCTATCAATCACTAAAGGAATTTTGTTAAAATTGCATTTAGTATTTTTTGACTCATATCTTTACTTTAAAGGCATTTTGGTTGCATATATGCAGTTCAAATCTGTCCTATTAAATAAGCTGTATATTTTTAAAGGGAAGAAATGGGCACTCTAGCCTATTCTGTAACAATTGTAAAAGCCACAGGAATTTAGTCATTGGATTCATGTGTTTTTCGATCACAGGCTACCTTATTGAAATATAAAACTTGAACTACAATACTTATTTTCTGTTCACAGTTATTTAGATAGATGCTTTTTCTTTTGTAAGCAGGCTGGCTCCTTTCAGGCTAGAATCTTCAAATTAATTTTCTGGTACTGTTTGGAACCCAGGACTTCAGACATACTGCTGCTGCTGCTGCTGTTACTACTACTACTACTACTTCTTTTTAAAGTAGTACTGGGACTTGAACTTAGGACCTTAGCCACTCTGTCCTAGACACTATTACTCATTTTAATTCCAGTCTCTTCACAAGTGCCTAGCACACAAATAGAACTGAACTGCCCTCAAATCCCAGGCTTGTATGGGAGTGAAAACAAGATCCCCATGACTTATGTAACAGACTGGCGTGTTTCCCACGCGTGGTATACCCGCTGGCTTCAGGGGTTATCCGAGTCAACATTTTGATCGGTCGTATCTAGGTCCTACCTTAAAGTTTACTAGGAAAACATACACATCGTTAGTACCCTGAAGCCACGATTCCGCGGGTACCCTCGGAGGCAGCACCCCTTTCAATGGAAAGAAAAGAGATACCCAGAAAACAACACGGATAAAACGAGAACTTGGCAATAACCATACAAGCTGGCATACAAGGGACCAAAGTCGAGGCGACACCACCATCACCGCAGCGATCCACAACCCGCGCCTCCCTCCTCCAGGTTCGGCCCGCCGGGACCTACAGCGGGCCGGCGGCCTCCCGCGGACCGCCGCGGCGGCGGCCGCAGCCGGCCGAGACCGCACGCTGGCACGGCGGACTCCAAGGGCCAGTCGCCGAGGCTCGAGCTTTCCAGAAGGGCTGCCGCCGTGCTCGCACCCGGGCTCCCGAGCGCGTCGGCGCAGCGCAGCGTCCGCCAGCCGCGGCCCGGGTTTACCTATCCCCCGGACGGTCCCAGGCGCCTGCCGACACCGCCATGGGCCCGACCCTCTGCCTCCTCCTTCCTCCTCCCAGCCCGCCCCGCCCCGGGCTAACCCGGGCCCCCCGCCCCTTCCTCCTCCCTCCGAGCCCCGGCGTAACTGACCGGCCTCTCCCCACCACACAGCGGCCGTAGCCTCTCCTCACGTAGCGCCAAGCTTCCATCTTCCAACTCCGTGTGTTTTCCAGGCCCCGCGATCCACCTCAGCCTCTACAACACCCTCAGAATCATCCGTTCTCCATCCAGCGAAGCCAGACTGCAACGCCTGCTGGGAGATGTAGTCTCGCCGGCCAAGTCTCCATCCTGCCCAGTGAGATTCCAATTCTTTAAACGAGAATCGCGCTTTAGGAGACATGCGCAGGGCGTGCGAAGCAGGAGCAGCCATCTTGGTATTGGGCAAAGTTCCTGACTTCCTTCTTAAAGAAACAGAGAGAAAAAAGAAAGCGGCGCCGGGCGGGTTTCATTTCGAAGACCTATGGGAGTACATGGGTGACGGCGTCTTCGCGGGAGTTAAGAGGAAAAGAATTATTGTATCATGTTTTCATAAGGTACTTGGGAAGCTAGCTATATGATAGATATCCATGCTGAGAAAACGATACAAGTTTTTACAAGTAATTGTGTAAAGACAAAAAACTTTTAGTGTCTATCTGTGTGTCTGGAGTGTTGATCTCAGGAACAAGACTCTAGAGCCTTGGAAAACAGTAAGTGGAGAAAGAGGTCACAGGAACAATACAATGGAGAGAGAAGACTGGCAAAGGATCCTAGAAAGCAGGACGGACTATTCCTTTCATGGGTCCTTTGGGAGCTCAGTTAGTGATTTCCTGAGGCTTTTCCCCCTTGTTCTAACTTTGGAAAATAATTTCCCTCCCGCGCATGGTTGATTTTCCTTATTTTCAGTGTTAGGTTCTATTAATGCTGCAAAGGACACTGAATTACTGATTTCAGAACCACTGCTCCTAGAGGAAGCATAAAGCTAGATTCCTTCTGGTCACATTTTTATCAACCAGCCAATACCTAATTGTGTTTTGTGTGTTTCTGTTTAAAATTTTCTTAATGTTAGTTCATCAATATTGAGCTCAAGGTCAACAAACAATACTATAACCCATACCTAAACAACGTTAACTCAATACATGTATTTCCTCAAAGTTACATCACAACCCTCTCTCACTTACGAACACTCGACTGTACTTTTCTTGAGGACCCTTTTTCTTTTGTGTTGGTGGTACTAGGGCATGAACTCAGTCAGGCTTTGTGCTCTCATTTGCACTTCTTTGGTCAAGGCTGGTGCTCTACCATTTGAGCCCTATCTCCACATCTGATATTCTGCTGGTTAATTAGTCCTTGGATTTGTCTGCTATGGCTGACTTCAAACCTAGATGGTCAGATCTCAGCCTGCTGTGGTAGCTAGATTACAAGATGTGAATTGCCAGCACCTGTCTTGGGGGAACCTCCCCCCCCCTTTCTAAACAGCATTATCAATAAATGAAGTGGCAATAAATAGGCTATAAAGACAGTTTTTTACAGGATAAGGGCTGAAAAAGAAGGCAGAGTTTCTTCTTCAGTTTCAGCTAGGAACAAACACATACGAAAACAGAGAAAATCTAAAAATGTCACTCTGCACTTTAAGACTTGATTTTGAGGTTGTAGCTAAATGTCAGTGACCATGCAAATTTGAAAATGTAGACTCTTTAATAGTGAAGATTGTTTCTGATTTATACTGCTATATTTTCTAATTGTGCTCACAACTTTGCAGTTTATTAAAGTTGGCTAGCAGTTTCCTGTGTGTCCGTAATGACATACGTACTTTGTGAACAAAGGCCATGGCACATTATTTTCATAATTTACCTATTATTACCAAGGAAAAAAAATTCTTGGCTAAGAATTTTCTTAATTTAAGGCATTAAAGTCAAGATGTGCCCCAAACCTAGCCAATTTGAGTATTATAATTTGAGAGTATATATGAACAGAAAGATGGAAGGCTCATAGGATAGGGTAGGCTATGTAGGTAGGAGAATAGAGCTTTTATGCCCACTCCTGCCTACTCCTCTTCAGATATTTATGTGTTGTTCAGCTATGGAAGCTCTTTGAATCATAGTCTTCTTTTTTTAAATGGAGGTTTCATAGGCATGATTTATTAGATCTCTTTCATTAGCAACCAGCTCAACCTTCAGCACTCTCCTCTCACCTGAGGTGTAATGATGAAACTAACAGTTCTAATTTAGAAATCGTGTTTATTCATGCAACCAGATCCTCATTCTTAGGCTATCCAGGAGCCCCAGCAACAAATCAACTCATTAGTATACAAAAAAAGATATTTAGCACTTAAGCAATTCCAATGGTTTAGCAGCTGCTTGACAGGAAACAGGTACAAGGATCAAGTACATCTTCACAAATCACAGTATGTACCTGGAAATGGACAAAGACAAAGTTATACATCAGAATGTTACAACAGTGAAATGGAATGACTCCTAAGGGTCAAATATACTTGGATTTCTACACATACTCTGACCTTCCCAGCTGTGGCATTAGGCAAATATAGTCCTTCTTTGATCAGTTACCTCATCTGTAAAATAACACTGATAATACTTAGCTAGTAAAATATTGTGAACCTAAACAGAACTTTATGTAGACCCTTGGGAAAATAGTACAGAGAAATTAAAAGCAGAAAGCCAGGCACCGGTTCCTCATGCCTGTGATCCTAGCTACTCAGGAGGCTGAGATCTGAGCATCACAGTTCAAAGCCAGCCTGGGCAGGAAAGGTCATGAGACTAATATCCTATAAACCAATCAGAAAATCAGAAGTGGAGCTGTGGCTTAAGTGGTAGAGTGCTTGCTTTGAGCTGAAGAGCTGAGGGACAACTCCCAGGCCTAGAGTTCAAGCCCCATGACCGACCAAAAAAAAAAAAAATTAAAAGCAGGAGACAAAATGATGAAAAATCAAAATAGTTCAATTTCAATACATAAAGGAAGTATTTCTCAAATGTTTCCAAGAATGCTATTGTAGTATATTTTGAACTATTGACTGATATAAATTTCTGTTCTTCAAGAAACCAAGTATCCTTATTAAATGAGTCTCCCTGGTTATGACTTGCATAACTATACATACATGTTCATAACATTCATCTATAATTATGGGATATACAAATTATTTTTGTCATTTTGCTTTTATAAAATGAGATTTGGTAATATGTAGAGGGAAAGGAAAACTAAAAAAATTAGGATGAAAATACAATTCCAAGTGTCCCTCAACTCCTACATATGTTCTTATATTTCATTCTCCATCTCCAAATTCTGGAAAATGTTTCTGTATAGCCTACCAATTCTCTCAACAAAAATATCTCGTTGTCATGGTGACATAGTTCTTTCCCTTGTACAACTCTGTAGTTCTGTGCAGTAGGATTCTAATTCTTCCTGGTTCTAGAATACTTCCTTTTGTTTTTCAAACTGTTTCTAATTCTTTCAGCCAGCCTAATATTACATCTGGTCTTGCTAATGACTTAGAAAATTAAAGCCTCAAGTTGGAAGGAGAATTTAATTAAAGGTCTTACAATAGTAAGATATCAATAAAGCAAATAAAGTCCTTTATGAGTACATGTTCTGCGGTAATTCCTTGATGAAAACAAGGTGAACTCCACTACATCCAGACGTTGGTTGAAGTCTTGCAAACTTCTTTTTTTTTTTTTTTTTGCCTGGGCTGGCTATGAACCATGATCCTCTGATGTCTGCTTCCCAAGTAGGTAGGATTACAGGTTTCAGCCACTATGCCTGGCTGGTTTAATATATTTGAAATAGGCCATTTAAAAATTATTGTAAGGCCATTCTGTTAATTTTCCCCCCTGCTTATGAGCCATATTTTCTTTAAAAAATTTTTTTTTGCCAATCGTGGGGCTTGAACTCTGGGCCTGGGTGGCTAGCACTCTTCCACTTGAGCCACAGCACCACTTCTGGCTTTTTTCTGCTTATGTGGTACTGAGGAATCAAACCCAGGGCCTCATGCATGCAAGGCAAGCACTCTACCACTGATCCACCTTCCCAGCCCCCATGAGCCATATTTTCTTGTGTGTATGTGTTTTTTGGTACTTGGGATTAAATCCAGGCTTTCATGCTTGTTAGACAAGTACTCTCCACTTTCATAAGAAATTCCTGCTGTGCACAGGTTGGCCTTAAATTCTCAATTCTAATGTCTCTGTGTCCTGAGTAGGTGGTATAGTGTACCACTAAGCCCAACTTATTTCTTGGAGATGTGTATGTGTATGTTTATACATTACAAATATGCTTGTACACACATATATGTATGTATTATACACATATAGACACATATATATGTACCTCATAACTTTTTTGCTGGGAAATAAAATTTTTTTTAATTTAATTTTTTTGTGAACATACTGTACAGAGGGGTTACAATTACATGGGCAGGATAATGCGTACATTTCTTATCAAGCATTGCAGCCTCCTCCTTTGTTTACCCTTCACATCCCTTCCTAGCCTCCTCCCTATCCCCCCACCCAATCCTTCCCCCCCCACCAATGTTGTAAAGCTCGTTTTCGACATGACAACTGGGAAATAAAATTTTATGTGACAGTTCTGCTATTTTTTTTCCCTCTTCAAGGATCCTTACCGTTGTAGTACTTAGTGAATTTTATGAAAATAAAGGGCTTTTCAAAATGGAATTGTGAAAGTTTTGAGGTCAGCTGGGCAGAAAAAAAGCTCAAAAGACCCCCTTCTTATTTCACAGCCATGCCTAAACTATATGCCTAAACTATAATACAGAGAAACAGGGAAGGAGGGAAAGAGAGATTGATTCTGAAAGATTATTAGACATACCAGAGAACCACAAAGAAGACGTCCAGGTACAGAGAACATGAAGAAGACAACCAGGTACAGAGAACAAAGAAAGGTTTATTGCTGGGAAAGCTCACAAGGGAGAAGTGAGAAGAAGCAACGAGCTATTGTCTGGGGTGACCTATATAACCTAGAAGGTTTAGGAGGGGCTAGAAGGCGCTAGGAGGCTAGGAGCTTCATCATGGCAAATTAGGATTTATGGCTGCTATCCAAATAGTAGCCCCCTGCAGCTGCCCAGACATGAAGGGGGCTCTAAGGGGCTCCTGTTGCCTTATATCTGCCCCAGAGAAGTGCCATCCCCAAATAGAGGGGGGTCGGAGGCTGGTTATTTACTGCTTTTACTAAGTGGAAGAGAGCATACTAAGCTGTAGAGAAGGGAGGGAGTGTACTAAGGAAGCTGTGGGAAGGGAGCTCACTATGCTAACAGATTCTGTGTTTTGTAGTTTATTATAAATGGTCTAAACTTAAGGTTAGCCTGAAAGGGGGTGTGTTTTATTTATTTATTTGTTTTTTTGGGTCCCGTCGTGGGGCCTGAACTCTGGGCCTGGGCGCTGTCCCTCAGCTCTTCAGCTCAAGGCAAGCGCTCTACCACTGAGCCACCTTCCCAGCCCAGGCGGTGTGTTTTAAAGACCGCTCTGTGTGTGTGTGTGTGTGTGTGTGTGTGTGTGTGTGTGTGTGTGTGTGTGTGTGTGTGTGTGTGTGTGTGTGTGTGTGTGTGTGTGTGTGTGTGTGTGTGTGTGTCTCCATGCAGGTGTGGTACGGAGAGATCGGTGTCAGGATTGCTTTTAGAACGAGAAAAGGGTGCATCGGCCAGAGTTTAATGTGATTCGAACTGACAGGTTCAGAGTAGCGACAGAAGGGTGCTGGCTGGGTACCCCGCCATCCCTCCCCGGCCTCCCAGAAGTGAAGGGTGGGTGTGGGAGGGCCGGGGACCAAAGCTCTCACCGGCGTGGCTGTGACCGCTCACCCCAAGCGACGTAGCTGGCGCCCAAAGAGACTTAGAAGGCGCGGCTCGGGCCTCCGCCATGCCGGAGCGCGCCTCGACCTCGGATCCCCACCCGCCCCTCAGCCCCAGGCCCGCGTGGGTGCCAGAAGCTTAAACCCAAGCTGCTTCTCTCCAGGAACGCGGGGGGAAAAAACCACAGCCTGACCCGGAAGCGCCTCCGCTGACCCGGAAGCAGATCTGCGCAGCTGTGGCGCCGCGGCGGTGGCGCGGTGGTGGAGGAGCCGCCGCCCCCTCGCTGCTTGGCTGCTGCTGCGTGGAGACACCCCCCGGGACCGCCGCGGCTCGGGGCTGCCCCCATGATCCCGGGCTGGCGGTCGCGGCAGAGGCGGAGGGAGGATGACCTCTCCCCGGGGGCAGAGTGCGGACCTGGCCCGTTTCTACACTGTCACCGAACCCCAGCGGCACCCGAGGGGCTACACGGTGTATAAGGTCACCGCCCGGGTGAGTCCTGGGGCGGGACAGGAGGAGGACCCCCGGTGGGAGCCAGAGGGCCAGGGGGGCGACCCCAGGGCGTGGCAGTGCCTGGTGCGCTGTGGGAGCCCGGGCAGCGTCGGGGCGCGCCCAGTGACGGGACTCGCGTCGGAGATGGGGGTTCGGGAGGGCTGCGGTCTTGGCTGAACTGGGGGTGCCCGGGCCCCCGTGGGGTCGCGGGCGGCGGGGTCTCCACTCTGGGCTGGGGCGTTGGTGGATGGCTTTAAATCGATGACTCAGCCCGGGTCCGGGTTGGACTTTTTCTCTCCGAGCAGCATTTGCAGAAGCGGTTTCGCTTGATCCGCAGGGATGATTTTTAATGTATGCGTTGTGGGGCTTATGCAATAGAAGGCAGTTGTTCTCCTAGCTTTGTGTTTTGTTTTGTTTTGTTTTTCAGCGACAGGTTTGCTCTGAGGCCGGTTTGGCCTCCAACCTTCGATCCCTGTATGGAGGCCATGTCTGAGTTTTTCATGGCTTTCAGTAGGAAACTTAGGTGATATTTTGATTCATTTAAAAGTTGTGAGGGTGCTTTCTGTCAACTAATTGATCCAGTCTTAGCATCATTTCTTTGTGTGTGTGTATACACTTGTGTACGCACGCGTGTGCGCGCGCGCGTTCTCGCGCCAGTACCAGAGCTTGAACTAAGGGCCAGGGCTCTGAATCATAGCTTTTTGCTCAAAGCTGGCGCGCTACCACTTGAGTCACAGCCAAACTTCAGCTTTTTGCTGGTTAATTGGAGATAAGAGTCACACCAACTTCCTGCCCAGGCTGGCTTGAAACCTTGATCCTAAGGACTCAGACTCTTGAGTATTACTAAGATTAGAGCCGTGACTCCCAGCAATTAGTGCATTTTGTTTGTATTTCTTTGCTTATCTGTAGTATGAAAGAATCGCATCCCTCTTCTAAGAAAGCAAAAGATTAGATAAGTATATACTTATTTATTGTTTATGTGTTGTTTGTGTTCATTATGCCAGACATTTTGTATATATCACTCAATGTTATCCTCATTTTAATGATCAGGAAACAGGGATTCAAAGAAATTAGTAATTTGTTTTTATATTTGCAAGACAGTAATTGATCTGGGATTTGGGACCAGTTCTGCTGAGCTCCCAAGATAGCTAAAATGTTTTGAATTAACTGTATTGTAATTAATTTTTAAAGGAGTGGTACAGATTAAGTAGTAATATACATCTAGAAAATTTAGTATGCATGTGTGATAGACAGCTTGGGAAGTAGGTCTTGAGAAGAACTTGAAGATTAAGTAGATTTTAGGTGAGTTTTGGGTGTGCCAGTGGCAGGTGGCCTTTGGAAATGGTGTGCAGGTAGAGATGTGAGATGGCAGGGGTGAGCAGGTTTGTTAAAGATAAGGGGAACACCAGGTCTGGTTATTGCAGATTGCTTTTCTGAAAACTTCCCGTTTGCAAGTAAGGTTATTATATAGGTAGGTAGATTGTTAATTTCAGGTTGTCTAAGAAATTTTATGAGATTATGGGGTCTTTATGATACCATTCTTGAAACCTTTCTAGTCATTGGGATCTTCAGAATAAAAATAGACAAGTTTCCTGCCATGTGGTTTATATCATCAGGACCATGTTTAACAAACATGATTTTTGTATAACACTACTAATTCTTTATTGTAACACTAACCAAATTGTATTTTATTCATCTGCTCATATGCCTGTGTCTTGTGGTAGATGTAGTGTACGTCTCTGTCACTGGAAATTATTTCCTCATGTCAAATGAGGCAATACTTAGTACATGTGGCTGTAATAAATGGCTGAAGGTCTTCTTTTTCCTTCTAGGCAGCACAGTCAATAGCTGCTTAATTCCAGGCATTGAGCACTAGGAGGGCTGCAAGGCTGAAGAGAGCCTGGGCCTTTCTTCTTCAGGTCACTGAAGTAAAGCAAATTACTGTACTTGAAGAAGGGCAGTGGAATAGGAAAGGGTTAAATGCCCCAGATGCTACAGAAAAGAGCTGTGGGAAATGAGAAGACAGAGCTTGCTCCTGGCAAAAAGGATCAGAGAATATGTACCAATTAAGACAGGTAGTGAAAGATGGAAGATGCTATAAAAGGAGAGGGCATTGAAGGTAGAAGAAAGGAATAGAGCCTATAAAGGCTGGGGATAAGGAATGTATGGAATCTCAGTTGGAAACACCGAGTATCATAATTATTCGTGTTCTTTGAAAAAGGAAAGGGTAACCACATTCAGACCTTTAATCTCTTAAGCCATGGACTATTTTCTGAATTTAGTTTTATTATAGTATAAATTAGACGATTAGAAGACATATTTCCTTAGGATTAACCAAATGCAGGTAATATGCAACATATTACAGTGGTTATTTAACTTGAAAATTGCTTATGCTGACTTTTTACTCCCAACTGTTTATGTCCTTATTGATTGCTTATGTTGCAGACATTGTTTTTAAATTAAGATTTGAGTGTTAACATAGATACGTATTTTAAAGATAACTGTGCCTAATGCTATAAAAATTAACATATTTATTATGTTTTGGGTCTTAGTGAGAAAAACATCTTTTCTTGGGAGAATTAAATCACCTAAGAAGTGCTCTTTTGAGAACTTCATGAGATAAAATTAGGAATGTCTTCTGTATGTTCCTGCTACTGACTTTATTCTAGCTCTAAGGGACAGTTTCTATATTCTTGCTCCATGCAGGTTATGTTTATAGTAGAATTAGAACCACTGAAAGTACTAGTGTTAAGTTTTGGAAAGCAAGAGGGCTCTTTGATCTTATATCCTTTGTGCAGTACTGGAGCCTGGCAGGTTCAGTTAATTTTGTGTCTAATTACAAGCATGCTAACAGATTTCCTAGTTCAATTGTTGCATTTTATTTATAGAGTAACTTTTTATTTATTTTTTTAAATTCTTAATTTTAGAATAACTTTTTTCCTTTTATTTACTAAAACCTAAGATTTACAGAAGTTACCAGATAAGCTATACAGATGAGTTGCAGAATTTTTTTTTGTCAGTCTTAGGGCTTGAACATAGGGCCTGGTCGCTGTCTCTGAGCTCCTTTGTGCCCAAAGCTGGTGTTCTACCACTTGAGCCACAGAGCTGCTTCTGGCTTTTTCTCAGTAGTTTGTTAGAGGTAAGAATCTGATGTACTTTCCAGCCTGGGCTGACTTTGAACAGTGATCCTTAGATCTCAGCCTCCTGAGTAGCTAGGATTGCAGGTGTGAGACACTGGCTCCTGGCTTGTCTTTATTTTTATCTAGAATGAATATCCTAATATAGAATTGGAAAATTCTGTTATAAATTTTCTTTTGATTTTCTAGTTGAAAGAGACACAGATATAAAAAGACTATCAGCAGTGTTTCTGGCTATTTTTATCATGTGAAGTTTGTAAAATTTTCAGATTTGTAATAGAGATTTCTCAAGATTAGGTAAATGTTAATTTTTTTGTTTGTATTCTTTCCATATGTTTGGAAACCAAAAGGTATCTGTTCATTTTTATGTTTTTGTTTTTCTTTTGGGTCCGGTCGTGGGGTCTGAACTCTGGGCCTGGGTGCTGTCCCTCAGCTCTTCAGCTCAAGGCTAGCACTCTACCACTTGAGCCACAGCGCCACTTTCGGCTTTTTTCTTATGTGGTGCTGAGGAATTGAACCCAGGGCCTCTGGCATGCAAGGCAAGTACTCTACCACTGAGCCACCTTCCCAGCCCATATCTGTTCATTTTTAAAAGACAGTGCTGCCTTAAGACTACAGAATTGTTATTAGTTAATTTTGAGATAGGATCTTCCTTTCTTCATGGGTGCGTGTCAGTTGTAGGGCTTGAATTCAGGGCCTGGGCAGCATCTCTGAGTATTTTTGCTTAAGGCTGGTGCTCTATCACGTTGAGTCATAGCTCCTTTTCTGGTTTTCTGGTGGTTAATTGGAGATAAGAGTCTCATCTCACCATTTTTCCTGACTGGTCTGGCTTCAAACCATGATTCTCAGATATCATCCTTCTGAGTAACTAGGATTACAGGTGTGAGCCACCAGCACCTGGCTGATCTGCCTATTCTTCCTGTCATAGCTGGTGTTGATAAGCATTAGCCACAACACTCAGCAATGGGTTAAGAAGGGGTCTTGTGAAGTTCTCTGCCTCCGTTTGCCTTAAACTGTTTTCAGCCTCTCAGGTAGCTAGGATTGCAGGTGTGAGCTGTGAACAACTGGAAACTCTAGAAACCTTTGTACAAAACAGTTTACATTCATAGCTTACACATTTTTAGTCACAGACATATAGGATGTGTCACAAACACATGGGTTGTGAGGCCCTGAGTTCAAACAAAAAACTAATGTGAGAAAATAACTTTAGCAAACGTTTCCGTATATACAGGTAAATAACTGCTATACTTTCTTCTCGAGACTTTGGGATTTTTAATAATATTGAAAACAGGAATTTCTTACTTCTTGTTGTCACTGTACACTGGGGTAGACTGGATGGCTTAAGCAACAGTTATTGCTCACAGTTCTGGAGGGTGGAAAGGGGCCAGCATATTGAATGTCTCATGAGGGCCTGCTTCTGGATTGAAGGTGGTCACCTTTTTGTGCGTGTGTATGGGGGGGGCGGGTAGGGACAATAAAGAGACAGAGACAGAGAGGGAGAAAGAGAGAGAATGAATATCTG